TGCGTGGACAGCACGGAAATTAGCTTACTATTACATACATATTATAAAGTATCACTAATTTTCAAGTCCAACTATGTCTCTGTCTTACAGTGCCCTCGCAATTTCCAATACCCTTCCCATTTCTCAATTTACCCATTCTTATCCATTGACACTCTCATCGCAAGTTCAAAATTACACTTGCCCCAACTCTTTCCCATTTCTAATTGACCCAATCTTCCCCCCACCCTACACATAATGAAATTTTACAAATCAAAATCGCCTTTGTATTCACCCCTTTCTTCCCAATGGCAATTTCCCAAACCACAATAAACACCATGATTTAACCCCTACATCCAAATTTCCCATTCATGCATGCAACCCATACTCAAAATCCAAACCCCCAAATAATTCATAATCCTTACTTTCTCTATGTGTATGTATGCCCAAGCACCATCCTTTTTTTCATTTAGTATTATAAAAACACTGAGAAATTATCAACATCTCTCTTTTCTTCTACTCTGTTCTACTTTTAAATTCAATCAAACAAACTAGTTATTTCTTTTCCTCTTTTAGCCTTCTTTCCATTTCCTTTAATTTCTGGAACCCTTTCTCAACTTTAATATTATTATTTTGTATTCTCTTTTATTTTCTTTATTTGTTGATTCTTTATTTTCGTTTTTAAATTATTCTTCTAATTTATTTCTTTCGATCCATTCTAATTTTTCTCCTTTCCAATTGAATCTTTGTAAAAAAAAATTAATTCAATTGCTTTTTTTTAATTTAAATTAACAAAGTATACAATCAAGGCAAAAGACTCTCTATGAACTACTATAGATAGTAAGAAAAACAGAAATCAAAAGTGAGGATATATGTTAAAGTGCAAAAAGAAGTGTAAAAAGTCTGTGTCGTATACTGGTACTCAACATATTATGCAGAATCAGACCCAATAGCAAAATCAAAATTCTCGTCTAACAGAATAGAATAGCAATATAATCCAATTTTTAGTCATCTGTAAAAAGAATGCACTTGAATGAGTTGTGGTCAACGACTTGTTTTATAGTAAAAGCTATCTGCAGCTATGAAAAGAGAATGTAGGGATTTTCTCTCATTATGATTCTTGCCAAGCAAACTATCAACTAGATTATCCTCTATGCATTAAGATAAAAAAATACTAGTACTAGTTGATATTTCGTTTGCCAAACCTACTTGGGTAAATTCTTCCAATAAATCCATATGATCATTTTGCATTCGCTATTAAAGAGACTATCGACGATATATAAATACGATATGAAACAAAGTCTAGGATATGAATAACTCCACTTACATATGGGATAGTTTTCGTGTGCCATTATAAAACAACTGGATGGAAAAAAAGACTTATGAAAAATGGACAGACAATATACGGTAATTCAAACAACCCATGTCATTCTATCAACACTATCCAAGCCATATTCAACTTGAGAATGCACAATGAACTTACTCCTATTTATGTCTCTTGCCTTGTATATGTATTCTTCAATAGTTAAAACTTGTCTTTGATTCACAAATCAGCAACTTGGCTAAAGTGCATTCTTACATCGGCATGATGTGAAAGTCTGCAAGAGTGAAATCATTTCTTCCAACTTCTTATCAATCTGAGTTTCCATACTACAAAACAAGTTATCAGTTCGTTTCTCAATCATCATAAAAAATACTCTTTTTTCTTTCTATTTGCTGAAAAAAGAAAAGAGTAATGAGTTACCGAATTGATAGTGTATTACAATTCTTTAGTCTTGTGTCTAGCAATCCATATATACTGTACTTTTTTATATGAATCGCTCGTGCTTCTTGAAATCACTACCTCTACACCATCAAAGTCATTTCTTTTGGTATCTGGAACAATCTCTTCCCAGTGCAAGTTGACCAGGTTTTGTTCGTTCGTTCGTAGAGCAGTTTCCATCTGATCTTGGTGTCGAAGAAAATTGGCAAACTTGAGTGTACAAACTTTGGTAAATTTTTTTTTCTTCTCAGTATGGATTGTCAAGTCTACTGCTTTCTCCCTTTCTTTGTACCTTGCTTTCCTCGGATAGTTTCAAAGAGCTACAAAGTAAACCTTCTCTCGCTCTTTTTTGGTCATATGGTACTTGATTGCTTTAATATATATACATATATGTATATATGTATGTATTTATGTTTAGAGCGATATAGTCTTGACACCTTTTTTTTGAGTTTAAAAGAAACAAAAATTGAGTCATTGATGATAGGAAGTATATCTAATAGCTTTGCAATTGTTAAAACTCTGAATATTTTCGAGTCAAACGGAAAAGTAGTCAAAACAACGAATTTCGGAGTCTCTATGAAAGGAAAAAGACAATGAAATTTGATAAACAATTGGCAATGTTGGTCAACTGAGTAAAAGCCAGTGAACAAAGAATTCGTGAAATATATGGACCAGTCCATTCTCAAAAGAATAAGAATATGCGAGTAGTAAATAGAAAGCTTTATGAATAAATGGATGGGATGTAACTTTATGTAGTTTTCATTCGTGAAAGGCCTACTGAAAGATATTAATTGGAATCCTTTTATCCAGAGTGAGGTAAAGTAAGATCGTTGGCAACTTGAAGCGAAACAATAATTATGGTGCTTCTTATCTTATTGCCAATTACCAAAGGACTGCTAGTCAGTTAAAAAAAGTCCATATCAAATATACAACACCTCAAAATGACTACTGTTCGACAATCAAACCCTTTCCAAATTTTGTAAGGTTTTCTTATTACTTTCACGGAAACAAAAAACGATTTTACCTTTTAAATTCCAAAGTCTAAACTACTTCGCAGTTGTACGAGACTGAAATTTACAATGGACACAAAGTTATGAAACAGTATCAGAGGATCTCCTAGGAAATGAAAAAGTACACGTTGACTTTGTCAAAGTTCATAAAATCGTTTTCTTTGTTAAGGCATACAAATAAGTACCTTCAAGTAGGTATTTCAAACATATTTTAACAGGAAACAATTGAACTTAAAATTGAATTTTCGAGACAAAACAGAGATAGCATTTATCGAAGAAAATTTGCATAAAAAAGAATGACACCTTGTGTTTCTCTGTTCATAAAGGTGTAGAACCATACATAAAATGGTGCGAAAATGGAAAAATAACACTTGAGCTTGTTTTGGAAAACTCCATACAATAAAACTAATCGTTCAATAAATGAAAGTTTTATCTATAACCATCTCATGGATCATTTCAACCGTCTCTCTCGATATCTTGTTACATTTGAAATAGCTTCCTTGAAGAAAAGTCTTGTAAAAAGTGGAAAAAAGAGTGAGACACCAACTTTGACTCGAAAGACGTTGTTCATATTTTTGGTGCTTTTTCTATTTTCCCATAAATATATAGTTTTATACTTTTTGTTTCACTCGCTCATTTTTGCACAGAGTTTTCTCGTCTTTTAAAACTCAAAATGCTTTATCTGCTTGTAAGAGTCAACTCATACTCTCAGGTTTCATTTCTTCCATAGTCTTGAGCCTACAATCCAACACTATCGTTTCTATATAGCCTTTTTCCAATCCATTTCATATTCGAGCAACAAAATTGAGCTTTGTAAATACAACATACACTGCAGCAGGCTTGTATAATCTTCTCTCAACGAAGCAAACACAGACGTTCTTTTCTAGTTTTTCTTTTGAACTTTTCAAAAAGTTTCTTCAGTCCTATGGTGGTGCAATCTCTTTCACCGGTGATGTCTCTCAGCAATCCAACGTCTATTGTTGTGCATATTACGTTAAACCAGAAAGTAGTAAACAATAAATAAATCAAGAATATGCAGACAAATTTCTCCATTTATTGTTTGACAGAAACTATTGGAGATACTTTTCAACAATTTCAATGTTATTCTCGCTTGTGTTTTCAAGTATATGATGTCAGTAACTGTAAATCGATTGGAAGAAATGTTGAACAATTCCTGGAAATTTTTCTGGGTCTCACCGGTGATGTATCTACTTTATCTTCCTCGATTGACTCCAACATACATATTCGTTCAACATGTATACCTCTTCATAAAACTCAAAAAGCATTGCTACGGCATGAACAGGATCTTTTTTTTAACCATTCCTTAACTTTTAAAAAAAAAAAGCAGAACCTAATACCAACATACAACCCAACACTCCATGACTTCAGACAACAAACAACAGAGTCAGCACCAAAACGACTCCAAAGCTACTCGAACAGATTCTTCGAAAGCACGTCGAGACGCATTCAGAAGAAGTCAGAAAAGTCAAATAGTAAAAATAAATAAATGTGACGATACAGAATAAACAGATGGGCTTGGAGAAAGAGTCGTTGAGGAGGAGTCTTGTCATTTGAAAGAGTCGGTTTCTTGGTGATCCATCAATGTTTCTTGTACAATGTCCAACCTGGCTTGCGTCTCTTCTTGAAAAGCTGGGACAATAGCTAAAACATTAGGTTGGGTATTATACAATGAATAAAACTCCTTGATTACTGCTAGACCTTTGAGGATAATCTCTCCATTGTTATCGGTAATAAATGTACAAGTTGTTTTTGGCTTTACACGGCATCTTTTTGCAACGTCTTGAATGTTGGTCTCTGTGTTTTCAAAAAACTGAGTGAATCACAAAATATCTTTACAAGACAACTTGAGGTGTTTATCCATTTCTGTGGAGTGTTGATATAACCTTGAGAACCAGAAAAGGAAACCAAAAAAGGATTTCATCTATTCCCCAAAAGAAAGGGACAGAAAGATTGATTGGTTTTACAATGAAACAGTCAGTTCCCAAAAAAAAGGATAAAAAAAGCTGCAACACTATGTTCAACCAGCTGTATTGCTTTCAACATACTCGACACAGCCAATTGGTAACGAGTCTCTGATACGGATGACAACACTCTCTCAAACTATAGGAGAGAATGGGCATGTAATGTCATCAAGGTTTTGGGTAAACATGGGAAAAGACTGTTTCCAACTTGATGATGGTAAGAATCAACAAGGCAGGGAATTCTACAGAAATAGCAATCTAATGAGAAACCAATGCCAAGTCTTGTTGTCTCATCCAAAAAGCAACCAACAAAGATTGACAAATTTGCAGAGAGTTGGTTTTTAAAGACGTTATTGAAGCTTCTATTGTATTTGATAGCGTATTTTCCATGACATAATTGCAAAGAAGAGGAGGCTTCATAAGGCGAACTCACTTTTTTCATTACAAGTGATTTCTTGGATCTGGTACTTGAGAATAGTCAACCAACATCATGAATTGATATTTAAGTTTAGAAAAGGAGATATCAAGGAGTTTAGGAATATGTAAAGGTGATTTCGTGGAGACTTGTTCAAAAGTCTCACAAATGTAGCGGTACAATACGCTTATTGTA